GGTTGGTGCCGTGGTCATATTGGTCATTTGGGTTGGTGCCATGGTCATATTGGTCATTATAAATGACGCTATTCAGAGGGGACATAAAATGAACCAAAACTAAATTAGGATTTAACGATTTATACTTTGCTGCTCCAATCTTTCTAGAATTTTAATAAGGATGACTTCTTGTTAGCAAAGTGTTGTTGCGAGAGCTAGGAAAATTGAGCAAGGGTGTAGTGGAAAGGTGAAGTGGAAGGAGGGCCAGGACAGGAAGAAGACTGACCTCGAGTAACAACTTGGAAAATATAGACCTAGAGTTATCCAGTTCCAATAAATTAGGGGGTTAGTCATGCAAGTCAAAATAGTTACCTCATTCCGAAGATTATTGGTAAATTCTATGTATTCTACGCTCGTACGGTCGTCGAATTGTGAGACAAAGTCTTGTGTTATTGACATCTCAACAATGGCTGCTATTGAACGCTGGGTGGGCGTTATTGTTTGGGTTGGTGCCGTGGTCACATTGGTCATTTGGGTTGGTGAAGTGGTCATATTGTTCATTTGGGTTGGTGCCGTGGTCATATTGGTCATTTGGGTTGGTGCCGTGGTCATATTGGTCATTTGGGTTGGTGCAGTGGTCATATTGGTCATTTGGGTTGGTGCCGTGGTCATATTGGTCATTTGGGTTGGTGCAGTGGTCATATTGTTCACTTGGGTTGGTGCCATGGTCATATTGGTCATTTGGGTTGGTGCCGTGGTCATATTGGTCACTTGGGTTGGTGCCGTGGTCATATTATTCACTTGGGTTGGTGCCGTGGTCATGTTGTTCACTTGGGTTGGTGCCATGGACATATTGGTCATTTTGGTTGGTGCCATGGTCATATTGTTCACTTGGGTTGGTGCCATGGTCATGTTGGTCATTTGGGTTGGTGCCGTGGTCATATTGGTCATTTGGGTTGGTGCAGTGGTCATATTGTTCACTTGGGTTGGTGCCGTGGTCATATTGGTCATTTTGGTTGGTGCCATGGTTATATTGTTCACTTGGGTTGGTGCCATGGTCATATTGGTGATTTGGGTTGGTGCCATGGTCATATTGGTCACTTGGGTTGGTGCCGTGGTCATATTGTTCACTTGGGTTGGTGCCGTGGTCATGTTGTTCACTTGGGTTGGTGCCATGGTCATATTGGTCATTTTGGTTGGTGCCATGGTTATATTGTTCACTTGGGTTGGTGCCATGGTCATATTGGTCATTTGGGTTGGTGCCGTGGTCATATTGGTAATTTGGGTTGGTGCCATGGTCATATTGGTCATTTGGGTTGGTGCCGTGGACACATTGTTAATCTGGGTTGGTGATGTGGTCACATTGGTCATTTGAGTCGGTGCCATGGTCACATTGATCATTTGGGTCGGTGCTGTGGTTACGTTGGTCGTTTGGGTTGGTGCTGTGCTCGTATTGATCATTTGGGTCGGTGCTGTGGTTACGTTGGTCGTTTGGGTTGGAGCTGTGCTCGTATTGTTCATTTGTGTTGGTGCTGTGGTCACATTGTTAACGTGGGTCGGTGTCATGGTCACATTGGTCATTTGGGTTGGTGCCATGGTCACATTAGTCATTTGGGTTGGTGCCATGGTCACATTGTTCATTTGGGTCGGTGCCGTGGTCACATTGTTCACTTGGGTTGGTGCCATGGTCACATTGGTCATTTGGGTTGGTGCCATGGTTACATTAGTCATTTGGGTTGGTGCCATGGTCATATTGTTCATTTCGGTCGGTGCTGTTGTCATATTGTTCAGTTGGGTTGGTGCCGTGGTCCCATTGTTCATTTGGGTCGGTGCTGTGGTCATATTGTTTATTTGGGTTGG